ACTTTCGAACCATGACTGACTACTCTCTAAACAGATTAAGAGGATAACTGAAGAAGTGTTTTGCAGTGGCACTTAATATCCAACCCCATGGTTTCCCATCTCATCTTCTTCTCCACATGCTGCAGCTATGACAGTCTGATTCACAGCTCTCTGCTGTCCCACCCGCCTCTCCTTTAATCTCTCCACCGATATCTCTCCTTACTCTTCTGCATTTTTGATCTTTGGATCTGAGTCCACCCCCGTCATCACCATCCACCCCCAAAAACAATTTTCTGTGGCATTAGTAATATCTTCTACTCTTTTCTTTAAGCTTGTGTTTACCTCTGCAGACTTGCCCTGCTTCACTGTCTCTTTCTCTCTGTCTCTCTCTCTGACCCCTGTCACAGTCAGTAAAGTTCTGATGAGAAGCTACCTAACACTGCATTGTCTGATCAGGTGTTGTTGAGTAAGCGAGTTTGCAGCCTCGATCTCTTGGGGTCAGCTTAATGCTATCCTCTGCTGGATCTCTCCTTGTAACCCGGTCTGCTGCCTGCCAGCCAGGCCCTACATTTCTGCTCCAACTGTTGACTGGCTTCTCCAGTGCTTACACCTACAACATACTACTGCACCTCCATGCCAAACAGCATTTTCAATGCTACAAGATGTCCAGGTCTGCACTATATTTGCATGCATTAGTGTCTAATGACTCAGCTAATAGTGTTACTATTTTTAATGTGTATATGTTTATGGTAAAACCTCTCTGAAGCCTACTAAAATTTTTGTCCACCAAAATCACAATATATAATATTTTATCTGAATTTTTTTCTGTATCTCATTTTATACCTACCTGCTAGTGCTTGTTTTTTCCAGATCTGTTGTCCGTGTGCTTGTGTGATTTAACTTAGAAAAAAGGTACCAAAGTTAATCTGCAGGGCTAGGGAGTTTGATATCCTTTCACTTTTCAAGTCAGATTCAACCTTGAACAAACCAAGAGGGAGATTATTGATTAATTGCTATACATTAATGAGCCAAATTGATCTGAAAGAAGGGCAGGAGTATAGATCCCTGACAGGGCAACCACTTGAAAGGGTTTTCTGTACAGTAAGGGACTATGCAGGACACCCAGAGGAAGGTGATTACACGGTAAAATCAGGTAGATGATCATCCTTTCTGTGATTTGTGCCAGCCACATTTACAAGTGGTGGGCAGTAGCAGTAATAAATTTAGCTTGTGTCTGCTGGTGTGATGCTAAAATGACAACTGAAACTATTCGCGGCTCAAAAACACTGCAGGAAGAGAATTTACATGTGGAGACAGAAAACATATAATTATATTTTTTGGCATCAGAGTATTAACTTGTGCAAATGGCTTTTATATGTACATGTTTTTAAAAGATATGCACTTGTGTTATATAATGGAAGTTTAATCTCCAATCTCTAAGCCTTTTTTTAAATCCATAGAACTTATATAAGATATTTACATTGCATATCCTTCCAATGTCCCCATGGTCCACACAATGCTATATAAAGGCCTGTTATTTCCCCTCCCCCCAGTCCATTTGCATACACTTTTGCAGATATTACTTTCCTTGCCTATGAGTGGGAATGTTACCAATAAAACAATCTAAAGTTTAAGTATCTTTGCTTCCCTACTGGCAGGGTCGACACTTTGTTGTTGTGGCTCTGAAATTATTCAGCTAACTCTCCAGTGACTTTCATGCGGTCGTACTGGGAGTCTGGCTTCACCTTTCGGATTGTGGCTGTTAACTGTAGTCCTTATTCTGCTCTGTGAGTTCGCTGGCCAGCCTAAAAAGGTGGACAACTGGTTGTACTTAAGGCTTTTCCTGGGTGATCAGGCAGTAGAGTACTTAGATGTATATGATGGAGCATTGTCCCGCATTATTGTTCTCTCTGCTTTAAATGCTCTATACTCTCTGATGTCCCAAATTGTAGACAGTCCAAATAGCTCATCCTTAAAGGAAGCAACCAATACCAATACCCTCCACTGTGCTTTCATCTGGTCCATTAAGAGTTACTCTCATTTTATCTGTTCATCAAATCTTTGAAAAATCTTGCTTTGTGAAATCTTGATGCTTCCACCATGTGGCCATTTTATGTTGGCCTTATTTCTGAGCACTCCTGTCATTCTTATTCATTTTAAAATTGTTTAAATGTAAATGCACAAAAAGACCAGAGATCAGACGATGGCGCTCATATGGGATTTCTCTACTCATTTTGAGCACTCAAAACACTATACAAGCCCAATTTTTTATGTCAAAAAACCCTCAAACCACCAAAAGTGGTGGTGGATTGTAACGCTTTCCATCACATTACATTTTTCTATTACATCTTTAATATTACCTCATTACAGTACTAACTGTATTAACATTGCTACTGTTCAAGCAACTGTTATTACTACTAACACAAAGCTAGCTTGATTGTCAACAGGTAACAAAAGCAGTAATAAGCGTTGTTGCTATGTAGCATCCATTTTTACCCATACCTGTCACTGTAGAAGTATTCTTTGGGCTGTTTTTCACCAGCTTTTCTGCTGGTTCTGTGTTTATACGTAAACACTAAAAGAAAATGTATGTGCCTTCATTAGCATAGGGATTTATATGGCTCTGTACTCTCAGGTTTACATTTTTAACTCATAATTATGTGCATTATTTTTGTATGACGACCCCAACACTGAATGTCACACAAAGCTTAAAGCTCAAACAGCAGATGGGATATCTGGTGATTTTCCCTGAAAACACGATTAACTGTACTATATGTGGTCATAGTCGGTTCATTCATGTCCACATCAAATCACTGCAGCTCAGACAACTCATTATGTAAACAATTTACAACCCTTTTCATAGAAAACAGGAATCGTTTAGGCTACACTGAACAGATGCATAGTGAGGGGAATTTAGGGATGCAATATTTTTTTCATTGTTATGTCACATCTGTTAAATCTGAAAATTTTAGCAATGTCTTGTCAAAACAGACGTGGTTTCTGAATAGTTCATTGGATGTGACTGACAGGAAGTTATTCCCGTTTTAATGATATGCGGGCTTAAATGTATTAAGCCAGTACAATCTTATCATCAAACAATACCACCAACACAATTAAAGAAACTCCAAGAGTAAAACACTCAGATGCTCAGACCAAATGCAGTAAATAGTGTGAACTAAGATAAATACAGCAAAGCAATATTTTGGCAATGAGGATCCCGTTGAAGCAATGTAGACATATGTGAACAAAGGGATGCAGAATGAAATGAAAGTCCTCGTCAAGCATGAAGCACTGCTCTTCGCTTTTGATTCTCATGTGGGGGAAACACTCTGAATTCACGGTTTCTTCTCCAATCAGCCGTGAAGGTATGTTTCCTCTTTAAGAATGATGTTTGTTCAGCAACATATTCTGTAGCATACTACTGTCGCTATTTGTGCACCAATGAGCCTAAACATTTCGAAGTCATCAATTCATTGCAGCAGTCACACCAAAGAAGAAAAAAGTACTTTGAAAATAAATTAAAAAAAACATGATTTTTCTCCTGAATTAAAGCACACAAAAGTAAACATATAAGGAAAAGCAAAGACGCTTACTTTGTACGAAATGTTAAAAAAAATAGCAAGCCATCATATAATGAGCACTATCTTATGAGCACTAATACTACAAAGCTTTTGTTTTGCATCCTTAAAGTGGTAAGAAAGAAAAGAATCTTAGCATCACATCACACCACACGAATCTCTGTTCAGAGACTCAGAGCTGAAGTTCTGCTTTCAAAGACCAAGCATATCAGACAACCTGACAGAATTAAGCCTGCACTGGGATTGCAGTGGTTTTTAGCTATTTTGACAATTTATTGTTTGTGCAGGTCTGCATAATTATGTCTGGAGATGCAAAAGCTCTGTTATGTGCATGTAAACTCATGTCAGAGTTTTGTCTGACTAAAAACTTGTTTTATTTTTATTATGCAGACTTGAGAGATGTGGCGACCATTGGGAGAGGTGAGGATGCAGGAGGTGGCTGAGCTGAGAATGACTGCTAATGTGAAACTCAGATATGACAATGACAAGTGTGAATGGTTAGGTGTGAGCTTCACTGTTCATTAGAAATAAATGAGGACTGACAAAAAGAACTCTTAAACTAGTAAACAAACATGTGGGTCTGAGAAATACAAATGCATTAAAACTGCTTACTTTGTCATTGATTTTGCACTAAAATGTGTGTGTGTGACTAGCAGGAAGCTACTCCTTTTGAATGATATGGGGGCTTAAATGTATTGATCCAGCACAATTAATTCTTATTATCAAACAATACCAGCGGCAAAATTTAAGAAGCTCTGAGACTTAAAACAACCAAATGTAGTAAATAGTGTGAACTATGATAAATATAGTAAATAAACCTTTTGGCAATGAGGATCACGTTGAAGCAATATAGACATATGTGAACAAAGGCGTTCAGAATGAAATGAAAGTCCACATCAAGCATTAAGCTCTGCTCATCAATTTTTACTTTTCATCACTTTTCTCACTCTGAATTCACAGTTTCTTCTCCAATCAGCCATGAAGGTATGTGCCCTCTTTATGAATGATGTTTGTTCAGCAAAATTTCCTTAAGCTGTGGCTACCATTGGGAGAGGCGAGGATGCAGGAGGCGGCTGCACTGAGAATAACTGCTAATGTAAAACTCAAATATTACACTGACAAGTGTCAATGATCAAGTGCGAACGGAGCTACAAGGCATCTTGTTGAAGTGTTGATCATCATTGTTTGGACAGGGAATAAAAGAGGACCAAACAATGTGAAAAAGGACTAATAACAAAACCCTGTGAGTGTCTTTCAGAATGAACGTTGAATTGGAAAACTTTGTGTAAAAGTGACTTATCTCATTTTAGTGCATTTACATGAAGTGTGAAAAGTAATTTTAGCCCAGTTTTAAGATAACAGGTGTAGCTCTCACCTCTGGTACAATATCCCAAAATATGGGTGAACAGAGAAGCAAGATGGAAATGATATTAGTTGACTCACCTGGTCTTTTGTCATTTCGCCCTTTTCGACCTCCGCATAGCCGTACTTTGGAGATCAGGACAAGGATCTGTTTCTGGCACAGGGACTTGTTGCTCTTAGGACAGGGCTTGCGCTTGCTGGCTACCGGTCGGTTGGCTTGGTCGTCCTTGACCGCCCGTTTCTGTCTAATGAGAGAGCTGGCGAGAGCTGCCATCTTCCCCCCCTCTCACCTTTGGGAGGGGGGTGACTTCCTTCCCGGTACCCCCTTTGCTGGTTTGGCTTTTGCTTTCCTCAGTACACTAGAATAGGACGAATGTTATAAAGAAAACCCCACAGGGGAGATCGGGAGTCTAAGTGGGTTAACAGGGAAGAGTTTAGTTTGAGGGTTCCCTTGGAGAGGGATGAACTGGATAAGATGCAAGTTCACATGCAGTCCAATGTAATGGACCAAAAAAAAAAAAAAAAATCAAAATCTGACAGTAACAGATCCCAGGAAAAAAATTTTTTTAAAGTGATACAGTCACATTTTCAATGTAAAACTTTGAGACCAGCTTTAAAAAGACAGACTTTTCCAAAAGGTTACGCTCGAGACATGATTCTATCCCGCTTCCCCACTCATCTTTCACATCAAAATGTGGCCTGGCAGCCAAGTACAAAATGTTATATTGCAAAATAACTAACCTACTTTAAACAGGCGATACAGAAGAGAAAGAGCTCAAATTAATTTACGTATAAAAACACTTTTAAAGAAGAAAAGTGGGCTCATTTTGAATGCTAGGAAGCTCTTAAAAGCGCAAGAAAAACCAAACTGTTTTTCACCATTCGTGCATTCCATGGCGGTCCAACTTTGCCTCCCATTTAAATGTGGCAGCGTGGAATAATGAGCCGAGAGTCCAAGCAGTAATCCAGCTGACTTAAATCCAGAGGTAGCACAGCAGGCGGGACACTGACGGTCTTTGTCGGAATGAAGCCGGGAACGGAGCAGAGACATGGACACAGACAGGCAGAGACTCCTCTTCTGCCTCCAATGGCATGCCTCTTTCCCACAGACCTCACCGAAACCCCCCTCTTTCCTCCTCCCCTCCCCCCTCCTCCTCCCATCCAAAGTCAGCGAGTGGTTGTGAGAGTATGTGTGTGTGAATTCCAGCAGCCACCATCAGTAGAGGTGACATTCATGACAGAGAGAGAAAGGAAGGGGGGGGGGAGCGAGAGACAGCAAAAGAGACTGAGGGAGGGGAGGGGGAGGCAGAGGCTGTGATGTGTAAGAATGAGCTTGGCGGGGAAGACGGAGGAAAATGTGGGAGAAGGACGTCTTAACAGCCACTTCACCGAGGCTACAATTTTGTTATTTCACAGAAAACATCCCCCTAAAAAAACAAACTAGAGCCCCCCTGAAACAGAGACACAGCGCCAGAGTAGGAGAAAGACACCAGAGAGTGCTGGAGGTGCAGATTGTGACAGTTCTCTGTCTCCTCGAGAGGAGCAGCATCACCACGTGCTACCTTCCTGTCACATGCACCCACTCACACACACACCCAACACACACACACACAGAGCAAATCAGCATATTTTGTAATGGAGCCTTCCCTGCTGTATAATTGCTCATCTCTAGTCTGTGTTTTTCTTCATCTCCCTCTTTGAAACTCACTTACATGATAGTAATCTCCATATTCTTCTTTGCTTCCTTCAGCTTTACATATACAATTGAGTGGGGGGTGGGTGGGGGGGGGG